AAAGAGTGGGCAAATACAGAAGTAAACTGATGGTATGTTTTGGTTTTGTCTAGAGCCAAGAACACTTTTCTCCTTCAGGGTAATTTTTTCCCTGCTGCTGTAGGAATCTTCCATTCCAGTGCTTTATATTCTGTCCACCAGCTTGCTCTGTATTTAGATAGAGACTTCATTTCCTTTGCATGTTGCTTTTTTTATAAACACCCCTACAAAGTACACTGAAACACCTGGATGGCTCCTGTTTACTGGCTGCATCCACTTGTTGTCAGTGTTAGTATCTCTGAGAGGAGAAAATGAATGTTAGGATAAAAGAAGATAAATATTTGTGCATTAAGGAAAAAAATGTGGAGGTGGAGAAAGCAGCTTTGACTCTGCATCCGTAGGAGAGCCTTGCACTTGTTCTGTCTTGTAAACTGCTGCCTTTTAGTCTCTAAAGGCACCTTGATACCGTACTCATTCAAATGATTTAGTTATTTAGCGTGGTGACTTTATCATAAGTGTTCTTTGCATAGTAGCCCACACACAGCCGTGGGGCATCTGATTTCTTTGAAAAGAATTAAGTGACTTTTATCATTGGTCATTGAAGCATGTCACAGAAATATTCTTCTGAAAACATTTGTTCTTGTAGAGAAGACTTTTTTCACAGGAAATAAAATTGACTGCTAGTCAGCTTCATTCAGCTCTCCAGCCAAGGTTTGAATGGGCAGGTGGCCAGAAACCTGCCAGCTCTCTGTCTGTCTGTGTGTCCTCAGGCTCACACAGAGGTGAGAGCAGCCCTGTATGCCTGTGTCCTTCTGATGCACGGCAATACCCTGCCTTGTGGTGGGCAATGAAGGGATGTTTCGGTCCCTGCCCAGCAGTCATGATCTTTGCTTTGTGCTTGTCTGACCGACTAACTTTTTTCCCGTATACATCCAACATCTGTTGGGCTGGGAACAGGGGTCATTAGTTTCTCTATTTTAATTTTTCCCCGTGCCCTTTCCTCTTTTGGGGTTTGTATTTTGAAGCCAAATGCCAGACCCCAATTGTTACTGCAGGAGCAGCTGTGGATTTGTTTGATCAGGGAGAGAGAAGAGCTCAGCCCAGATGGCTCTCCCTGCACTGTCTATTTGTTATGACCACGTGTGTCACAAATTGCCTTCTCCTAGCTGTGACTTTCAGGTGAAAGGAGCCTGTCTAGGGCAGATGCTGGAAAGCAGTTAAAGGTTAACCAGCTTTATTTCTTCGTTGGCATGACTGTGGTGTAAGAATTTGCTGATGGTCACTGAGCAGGCGAGAAGCTATTGTTTACAGGGCTTTTAGGAGGAGACAAGGGTAGTGGTAAGAGGTGATGGGGAGACCATGAACAGGAATGAGTGCTTTTGGGAGGGACATCTATGAATGGGTGGGGACATAACAGTTATATTCCACGTAGTGTCACCAGCAGACTCAGTTGTACAGGGCAGCCAGGAACTGGATTTCTGATGTTAACCTCTTCAGGCTAAATCTTCACCGTGCTTTCCCTCCTAGGCTGACAAGGACAGCCCCTCACCTCTGTCTAGCTGAGATTCCCATGGGAATCTGGAGCACGGTGGTGTGAAACATGCTGCATCTGAATGCTCTAGCTGTTCGCTGCGTGAGCCAATTAGACACCTTCATGAGGATGCAAACCAAAAGGACTCTGGTGTTATCTGCAGTGAGGAGGAATGAGCTATCTAAAAATAAAGTAGGGCTTCAAGGGGCTGGGTTAGATGAAGAAAAGATAAATGTGTGGAAAGGCTGAGGCAGCTGTCAATCTGGAAAGTGCTTGTAAATCAAGACAGAGATGTCTGTGTGTGCGTGAATGTGAATTCTAGCTGTCTCAAAGTTAAAATTAACTGTAGCTGGGTCACCCAAGGCAACTTCCCAGAGCCATTCCTGTCCCTTCCCTGCCTCACTGCACGCAGACAAGAAAGCTGCTGATGCTCAGATGTGAACAGTTGGTAGGATGGCTGGTGGAGCTGTCTTAAGGAGCTTTTTGTATTAAACATGCCCATAAACAAAACAGTGAGACTGCCATAGGGATGAGATTAATGGGATTCATAATCCCTATAAACAGATTTGCTGAGCACTGTATTAATGTGGAATTGTTAATTTGCCTTGCCTAATAAGTGGTCTGGACTTGCCTCTCTTCATTTCTGTCACTGAGGACAGCACTTGAACAGTGTCTTTCCTGGTCTTGCTGACCAGTGCTGAGAAGTGCCTCAAGAGCTTAGTGGTCTTCTCTTGTCCTTACCTGAGCTGAAAAGATGGGGACCCAATGCCCGCCATGAGCTGATGTAGGCCGTGTAGATGAGTGACAACCAGAAGCAAAACTGGAGGCAGAGAAGAAAGAGTTACATAAGGTCTAAAATATCTTCCAAAACCAATTTAATCCTTGTCAGATGAAGTTTCAAATATGATTAAGTTAAATGACCTCAGTCTTCTTTTTTTTCTTTTTTTGCGAGGGAAGAATCACACTGATGTTCTGGTGGTGTCTGTTGTGTGACCTCTTTAACAACTGGGCAGCTCTTGGTAAGCAGACACGCTGCCAAGCACATGCACTTTGTGTCAGAGCTGTCTCTGGCAGCGGCACAGGTCCACTTGGATGTCAGATCCTGCTAAGGCCCACGAAGCCTGGTTGTCTGCTGCCTGAGCCCTTGCATGAACCTTCTCCTAGCTATTTGATGGACATGGTGGTGCTGTGTCTGCAGGAGAGTGAGCCAGGGAGCAGGGAGGTGACAAGAGAGGTAATGCAAGTTTTGCTGCCTGGTCTGGCAGCTCTGAAAGTGTTAACCTGCCTGTTCTTATCCTGGCTAGCTGCTAGGTGAAAAATTAATTTCTAAGCCTGGTATACCAAGGACGCAGCTTTATTTCTGGGTTAATTCTGCCTACGTAAGTACTGGGATTATGTATCACTCACAACAACTGCTATGTTGCAAAATGGGCCTTGAGGAAGACTAGGGAAGGGAGGCTTTTATACCCAGAATTTGAACTCCTGGTTTATTTGTTAGGCAGGCTGCTCTTCTGTTCCCAAAGCTGTTCCTCTGGACTGTCCTCTGTGAGTGGGGACAGGTATTCCTGGCAGCAATAGGTTATTCTGCTGAGACTGGGCACAGCGATTGACTTATAGTCAGTGAGCCATTGGCTTTTGGACCAGTGCTTGTGGGTCTGATACTGCTTTGTGGGAGTAGAGAGAAAAACATCCATGGACAGCTAAAGAAAAAGATTTAGGTTGGTTGGTTGTGGTTCTTGTGCTTTCAGGTTCCCTCAAATACCAGTCACTTAGTTGTGGGAGTCTTAAAATATCAACTGCTAAGACTGCGCAAGCAGAAGGTATTTGCAGCAGGTTTACAAGCTTTTCTTCAGAACTACTGAGCTAGAAACGTCTTTATTTCCTTTTTCTTTCTAACCTATGTGAATCCCTTCTCTGCACCTCCAAATCCCTGGGAATCCCAAAGGGGTTCAAAGGACAGAGCCGATACTGTACACCTGCTGTGAAGCGTTGACTAGACAGAGCTGTTCGCTGAGGGTGTGAATGCCTCTGGCCCTCTTCTGACTGAGCGCCGGGCTTTTGCATCCAGACTTTGCCCAAGCCCAACAAATCCAGTGCTGAGGGCTTTTGGAAACACCACTCTGCCTGCTTTTCACGTGCAATTCACTTGCAGGCAGCCAGCACCGAATGGGATTTGGCAGGGTTATGCTGAATGCCTTTGTTGGCTCAACATATTTCCACTGCTGCTCGGGACAAAGTAACAGAGTGGCAGGATTGAATTTGTCCAATTGTCTTTATATATAGAAAGGACAGACAAAACCAGAGCCAGTTCCACTAATGCAGCTGCTCCATAGTAACATGAGAGGGGGAACAAGGGCATGAATTGGCCTGCTGATGTGTCTCCTGTTCTTGGGGAAAACTGAGGTGTCCATTCTGCAGCCCTGTTTCTGACAGATGGATGCTGCTTTACAGGTAGCAGCTCACTCTGTACCTTGAATGGTCTAGATGTTAGGTGCCTAAAATGTGCTTTTTCTGGTATTTTTCTTGGGTAGGGAGTATCTGCCTGAAAAGTAGATTTCACATTAAGTCCTTAGCTTCCTAGAAGAAGGAATTCAAGTGACATTTTTAGTGTCTTGCAAGCATTTCTGCATTTTTTTCCATGATTCTCAGAAGTACTATTTATGGAAAGAAGAGGTGAGCAAAGTGGCTGGAGGTACCAGTGCTGTATGAAACGGATGCTAACAGCAGGAGTGCAGTAAGCATGTTACTGCAAGCCTGGGAGCCTGCTGCTGGGAGCAAAACTATGTGACTCAGTTGATTAATAGTGAAGTTACATGAAGATGCAGTTGACTTTACCGAATTAATGGTGTTGCACAGTTGTCTGTGCTGGGCACTCACTAAAATGACACTATTCCCCAGCAGGCAGCTACGCACATCAGAGACCAGCCTTGAATTGTGGGCTCTTGGGGACAGCCCTGGTGAGGAAGCGTGGTCTGGGTGGGTAGGAGCTTGACACTTTGGGTATAGTCCTTGCAGAACAAGTGGGAATTGTACTGAGACAGCAGAATGTGGAGAAACAATGTCCCTGCAGGGTTATCTCTCCAATTTGTACAAAGGCAAGGGGAAATTTATTGAGGATTTTGTTTCTATGCAAGCTAGTGCTTAGAAACCCTTTCTAATGAAGTGGGGTTTGCATGTGTGCTGCTTTTAATATACTCTGTCTTTATTGCCAGGAAAATTTCTGACAAAACAGTGTTTGAAGTAGATCAGAGCTTTATTGTATTTGTGAAACAATTGAGTTGTTGCGACAGGAAATGAACAGAGCAAATGGCCAAGTCCTGTATCTCTGACGTGAGCAAGCCCTTCGCTTCCCTGCAGTGGAGTTCTGTTTCCTTGCACATTAGGTCTGTCAGGCATGTTTTTCATCATGCAGAGAGTTGTGGCCAAGCCATTTGGTGCTCTGTGTATGCTTGCCTCGTTAAAGTTTGCCAAATAGTAAGAATCTAATTACAGGGCGAGATCTGCAAGGGGATAGGTGTAAATCGAGTTGAGTGGCAGTGATTGGAAATTCTGATGCAGTTTGGCATCTGTGTAGCAAGGTGCTTTGCTGAATAACATTCACTTTAATGGTGAAGAAAGTAGTTTTGTACCTCCTGTTTGGGTCCCTGCTGTGTCCTTGAACAGCAAAGGTTACGTTATTGCAGAAAGGAGAACCGGGAAATCTTTCTTATTTCCTTCTTTTAGGAATCCAGTAGCTGTTACTGGTACAGATTGCTAGGAGAGCTGTGAAGCTTGTGTTGCTAAGACTATGCAAGGAATACTGTCCTGATCAGTACTACACAAGTCTATCGATATTAGCAGCTTTGTTTTTTCTTGAGATTTTGTACTGAGCTCTCAGTTATCCTTCATTTTCATCTTCCAACCAGAGGGAGTAGGTGATGTTGAAACAGCATTTTGTGGCTGCTTTTCCAGCCGTGCTGTGTTTAGTGGTATTTTGATGACCATCTGCAGATTGGCTTGTCTGATTTGCCATTTTAAGCATCTTAATTGACCTTAAATGCTTCTAATTTAGAAATGGAGGTAGGTGGAAGGCTCAAGGGGTTTTTTGAGCTTGCCCTGAACATCAGGAGAAGCTGCCTGTTGCCTTCTTGTTCACACTTTCCTACACACTCTGCTGCACCAATAACTGATTGCAGATGAATCTCTCTGATCTTCCTTCCCTGTTTATGTGTGCCTGTGTCTGGGTCATGCCAGCCAGCCCTGCCTTTAATAAAGAGACTTTGCCTGAGCGGAAAACCTTGAGACACTAGGGTTAATTTACTGCCCTGTATTATTCATTGCATAAAAACAAAAGCAGAAATGACGTTAGGAGATTTTTGTGTCTGCGCTTCTATACTGGCGATTTTATTTTTAACCTCAGCCATAAACCTCTTGTTGTGCCTAGCCTTTTTTTTTTTTTAATCCCATCTCTCAGAAATTGGGATCTTTATCATCAACATCCCCAGCAGTTGTGTGTATTACTGCACAAATAGGAGCTGTGGCTTGAGACCTTCTGGCTTCCTGGAATTAAAGTAGAAAATCCTAATTCAGTTGCTGTTTCCCCATGTTCCTGGTCTCTTCACAGATCCCTTGCCCATCAACAGGCTCCCTGCCCCTTTTCTAAATGCCCTGCAGCACTAATCCATGTTCTCAGCGGGATCTGCCACTCATCATTTGGGATTCCTCATGTCTGCAATTATTTAGCCTCCTGGGTGAGGCTATTAGGCCAGCTCAGACCTGAGCATCAGAGCCCACTGTAATGAAGCTCAGCCCTTGGAAGGGGGAGAGCAGGACAGAACCAGGTCAGGCACAAAAAGGCAGCAGGCTGATAGACTGTATTTTCACACTGGCACAGTGCTGGCTTTTCAGTCTAAAGCAAGCTGCAGGTTCTCATTGTCTGTGCTGGTTCAGCAATTGGAAAGTGCCTCTTTGCTCTTCAGAGTAACTGTGAAATAGAAATGCTCATCCCTTTCCTTCACTGTCAGCTGCTTCATGCACTGGTTTTCTTTCTCCTCCACAGGCCAGCAGCCCACAGGATCTTCGCCTCTTCTATGAGAAAAACAAGATGCTGATGCCGAAGTAAGCATTTTCCAGTGTCGCTGTTTGTATGCACTTGTTTACTCTGTATTTACACCTGTCCTCACATGCTCCTGGCTTGTCACTCAGGGAGGTGACTGTAAAATATTTGGCCACCTGCCTTCATTCCTTAAACCAGCAGTGATGTGGCCCAGAGAAAGTCAGACAGCAGCAGGTTGTTGGAGTCTGTGTTCTCTTGTTCTGCAGATACTACTTCTCTCCTACATAGCAAAAATTCAGGATTGTTAGTGATTTCAAGAGCCAGCTAGTGGTCCTGTCCTGCACATGGCTCCCCTGAGGCTGGGAGCCTTGGGAAGAAGTCATGGCAATTCTTGAATCATGCGAAGGGCCAAACTGCAGTCTCTCTTTTAACCTGCTATACCTGACTGCAGATCCCATTCCCGTGTCTCACGTGTCAGGGCAGCAACTGCTTGTGTCCATCCTGCTAATAGGAGGAAATACTATAACCTTGATGGAAATGGACACTGCTGCAGTTTCCAAGGGGAAGGTAACTGCTTTCGTCCCGCTGGGGTGTATATCACCTAGCTGCTCAGTGCTCTGATTTGTCAGTATATTTTGGTTTTGTTGCTGTGGTCTTTCCTTTTGATCTTTGAGGTCTTAAAGCAGAACCTCATGGTTACTCTGAATACAGAGACAGGTCTGAAGTTCCAGATTATATATACAAGAATTGGAAGGCCTTTTTTAACCGGAAAGTTAGCCTCCATTTGGCAGAGCTGCTAATGCAGCCACATACACAGGAAGTTCATTGAGTTGCTGTTTATGGATTTTTTGTTTTCCTTTATAGTTCAGACAGCTTCAAGGGATAGCAGAAGGAACTGTCAAGAAGCTAGAGCTCTTATCAATGGCTTGAGCTATCCATTTATTTTCCCTTTAAGTACTTCCTCTTTTGATTTGGGGAGAAGGGACAAATTTCTACCAGGATTAAATTTAGGCCATCTGCATATTCTCTTGGGTTGAACCAGAGGGTGTGATGGAGTAAAACACCCAAACAGAACAATTCAAAGCAAAAACACTGCCACGCAGTTGGAGCCAGTTAGTCTGTGTGAGCAGAAAGTAAAGCTTCTGTTTCCCCTACACAGCCTAAAACATGGCTGCTCACCTTTGTGGTAGTCCCTCTTACTAAGAGAGAAATTAATCCCTACAATTAATAAGGTTCCTTGTGTTGATCACGCTGCCCTGCTGCTGCATTGGGTCATGGTGCCTGCAGTAGGAGGCAGGCGAGGGGAGAAATGAAACTCAGCTGTAAGAGGAGAGCATGTCTGTTCTTGTAGGGATTAGTCGTTCTCCTTTGTGAGTCCTTTATGCAGTCTGCCTTTACCATTTTCACTTATCTCTGCTTTTTAACTACCAAATTCCACCAAAGTTTTGCTCCAAGCCCATTGTTTTTTCACCACAGAAGTTAGAGCCAAAGTGGCCTTTGTGTAAATGCCGATTCCCTGCTTTCCAAAGTCAGTTTGTTTCTCTAATGTGAGCTGAAATCTGTGCTATTTCCTGAGTAAACATGAATAAATTGCCTCTGCCAGCCCTGCCAACACAGGTTGAAACACAAACCACTCCAGAGACCTCCTTCTCAGACTGCAGCAGTACCAGAGTTTGGTTTCATTCTCCTTGGGGCTAGGCAGGCTGGCACCCACCTCCCCAGCATCACTGGGGAAAGTGATATGTTTTGGTTTGGGAACGGGGTGGGGAAGAAAAGCTCATTAAATGCTCACCAGCGGTCTCTGCCTGCTGGGCTGGTGCTGTTGTTGACAGGTGAAAATGCCATTCTGAGGTGGGGAGCCCATGTCAGTAGGAGAAAGCCCAAAGGCCTCATAGTTTTAATAGCACTGATCTAAATAGCTGACATTCATTGTGCTGACTAACGTGGTAAAGTACATTCTAGATCATGGAGGCAAGGAGGCAGTTTTGTTGCTTGTGTTTAAAAGATGGCCTTTGAAAATAATGCTGTAGCGTAGCAAAGCTTGACGTGAGAGATAAGAGGAGGCAAACAGGCTGTTAATCTGCACCGTCTTGGGTCTGTGTTGTGACATCTGAGGACTACTACTTAACCTGCCTGTTTCTTGGCTTTAAAAGCATACAAAAGCTGAAGTCATTGTTGGGAAATGGACTCATTTTGGATGAGAGCTTTATGTGTCATGGATAAATAAATTATGGCTGATAACACTGGAGGACTGCAGGTCTCCAGCACTAATGTATTTTTCAGGAGACTGCTAGCTGTGGTATCTTGGATTATTCTGTTACTCAGTGTGCTTCTAAGGCACACCTTTTTTGACAAAAGGGTGTTTTTTCTTGGCTCAAACTGAGTCTCAGTTTAACTGCATCACTTCCAGAGTCCTGGTGGCTGCCTCCTTTGTCGACCTGGGAAGGTGCAGGATACCATTCTAGTGTCAGGGATGGAAAAGCAACTCGTCCAGTACAAAAAAGGATGAGGAATGCTTGCCATCATTCTCTCTTCTAGGAATCACTGGGCTCAAATTCCTTCATCAGCAAGGCCTAGGGCTTCACAGAAAAATAACGGGGTCATACTGAAACCTATAAATACAGACCTTGCCTCACATCTCCAGTTTCACTGAACAGCAGTCTGCTAGTGCTGCTTTTCCCCCTCTGTTTTTGTTCTAGCTTCTTTTTTCACCCTGTTTGTGGCACGGGTAGAGTTGGTGGAAGGGTTGTTTCTCCGTGCATCAGTCGGGCTTGGCTTCGGGGCGGTGAGTGCTGCCAGCCCAGCGAAGTGGAGCCCTGCCCGAGCGAGCCACGTGCTGTGCTACTGAGCAGGCTGGGGCTCTGCGCTGTTAAAATCACTGTGCTGAGCACACAGGCCCTTACCTCAGCTGACCCGAGCGTGGGGAGAGGGGAAAGCCTGGCAGAGGGCGAGGGCCGTGCTGGGCACAGCCATGATAAACTGAGTCAATACTGAAAGGACTTGGAGCCACCTACGCTTCATTTGGAGAGGTCTGCTCTGGCTGCAGGCAGGGCCTGGCTGCTGCAGCCCCTTCCAGTGCTTCTGGGCAGGGAGGAAAGTCAGCAGAGCTGAATCCACTTATGCAAGAGCTGAAGTCTGCTTTCCCTGCCTTAATCCGTTCATTTATTCCCTGCTTCTTGCAATCTACTGGAGTTGTGAAGAGCTGCCCTGGCCTCTCCCCCATCTGCTTGTGGAGTGAGGGAGAGCGTGATGATTCAGTAGCTCTTTTGTGCTGCAATGGCCATTGAAAAGAGAATTTTCTTCCAAGCTATACTGGAAAGTGGGCTAATAGCTGCACTAATTTTAGCTTGCTCTGGTGGCAGTTGCTCACATCATAGTGGCCTTCAGTTTAATAGATGCTGTATATCAGGGAAGCAAATAGACAAAGGTTACTTGTTAGTCTTATATAAGCTGTATTGAAAAATAAATGTCATAATAAAATGGTAGTAATTGGTGATACATTTCACCACCAATGTCTTAATTGGAAGCTTCCCCTTGGTAACAGCTTCATTTTAATGACCTCCTTATTCTCATTAGAGCAAGTAAATGAGATTTTATGTATGTGCAAAATACTGCATGTTGAATGGGCTTAGGTCAGAACCAGAGGGATGACATGGGTACCACTGTGGAAGGGAAGGATCTGCAGATGCTCATGGGAGAGGCCACTAAAGCTATATTGACTGTAGCTGTAACAATGATGATGGGGAGTAAAAGCCAAACAGATGCAAATAGAGATGTTTCTGTGCAGCCTCTCTCAAGTGAGCTCCTCTTATGTTACTAGCCCAGCAGGCACAAAATGAGTTTGCATTTGCAGGTTGCCTTCCTGAATATGTAAAAGCTGTTTAAGCAGACTGCAAGTCTCTTATTTTGCTTTTGTTTTCGATCCTAGCATCCCCAGAGAGACATCAAGCCACCTGAGGCAGCTGCTGCTGGGCCTTTTGCAGCGTAATCATAAGGACCGCATGGACTTTGGTAAGACCTCCTTCCAGTTTAGTTCTGCTGCCTGTGTCGTCGTTTGTGCCATGGCACTGTACAAACCTCTGTACTTTTGGCTAGTACTAGGAGAAGCATCCAGACACCTGGATTTCACCTGGGGCTGGAAGACTGCATAATCTTGGGTTTTTCATTATATGTGCTAGAGAGATTAGTGCTAATTCGAGTACAGTTTTGTAAACCCAGAGATTTGGCACACCTTCAGCAGATGTTTCTTACTTGTATTTCCTCTCCTGGCTTCTGCTTTTATAATCTCTCTGAACTTCTATTGTGTGAAGTATGATACCAGGTGAAACGTGTGTCTTGTGTATCTGTGTTCTTTCTCTGTCACAGTTCCTTCCCAAAGCTGCAAGCTGCACCCATTTAATGAACAGTTAGGTTAACACCCTCCATTTCTCAGGGTCTGCAGTGATAATGTGAGCCAGGAGACCACAGCTACTTCCAGACCCTTCCCTCCTTCATGTTTCTGTGGAAGGATGCCTTGGTTCTCATAAGGGCTCAGGCTGGAACTCTTGGCTCTTCCTGTAGAGCTGTGTGTCAGTCTCTTGACTTAGCTGGCATGAAGCTTTCATTTTTTTTGATGTCTTAGTTTGTTCTAAACTGAGAACAATCGTTATATGCCAGGCAGTTCTGGCTTTGGCAGCCTCTTCCAGATATGTCTAGCTGAGCCAGAAGGTCTGAAGAACCTCTAGTGAAGCCATGCCCTCCTAGAGGAAAGCAAGTAGAGGTGGAACCTTTCCTAGAGCCCCTGAAAGGACCAGGTCATCTAAAGGCGACTCTTTGGTCTTTTATTCTTCCCCCTCACCTCTCCCTTCCCCTTAGGCAAAGATAGTCTAGACCTGTTTCAGGTAAAAATCAGGATGTGAATATTCTCTCACCAAGGGAGTTGGTCCTGGTGGTGTCTCCTTTGAGTGCAGAGGAAAACAGCAGTGGAAGGGGTAAGCTTGCCCCTCAGCCTTTGTGTTTGAATAAGGTTTGGTGCTGGGCCAGCCTGTGCAAGCAGTTTTCCTGAAACAAGGCTTCAGGGCCAAAGCCCATGAATTTGTGTTAAGTATCAGGTGGGCAGTATCACAGCAAGTCATAGAACTTTCTGCTTTTTATAGACGTTACCTTTTTTTACCTGAAAATAGTGTGGGTTTGATATTTCTGTCTTTTGGAGGTTGTTCTTTTGCTGCTTATCTGCTCAGTGGATTGTTTCCTGCTGGGCAGCAAGTGCTAGTCAATGAAGAGAAATCTTTTTGCGGCCTCTGTTATTCTTTTGAATTAGAGGTTCTGGGAAAGCCTTTCTGGGGACAGTGTCACTTGGTTGAAGCAAGAGTGGATAAACGAAGGCTGATCATAATTATCCAGTGCTGAATGTAAAGGACTGGTTATTGGGGTGCAGAAGTGAGAAAACAAGCCTTTGGAAAAGGGAGCTGTTGAAGCTACTGAGATACTGACTTGGATATAAGCACACCTGCAGATCTTCTATCTCAGCTGTGGATCTCTACCTCTTCTATCATGCTGCTGTGCCCTTCAGAAGAGTGTATCTGTGAGGTTCCTGCTTCCCTGCTGTCAATAGAAATTGAGTCTGGTAAACCTTTTTAGCCCCCCGTAAGCTGTTTTTGTACCCCTTGGGAGTAGACTGCATGAGTCAGTGTCTAACACTTGGAAGTTTGAGCTAATAGACTTTGATTTCACTCAGGACAACAGTTATAGCACGTCTTGCTGCATTGAAATTGTTGCCTGTTCTTATGCAGGATCCTTTTCTCTATAAATTGGCACGTCCTTGGAAGATATAACTGTTTCTCAGAGAGGGTTTGTGAGTATATTCTGTAGAGAAGCCTACGTTTGAGATAATTCCTGGTGCTTTGTAGAAGGCAGATCTCAATGGCTGTGTAGAATCCTTTGCCATATTCTAGTATCTCTTGTCAGTTGAGAGGAAAACAAATACCAGAGCCATGATTATTTACAACAGTACACTTCCTCTGCATCCAGTTGTATTTTTGGTCTCATCTACCTCTGCCTCCTCTCCTCAGACTCTGCTGAAGCATCTGAGCTTCCTCCATGTTCGTGACACAACTGTTTTCCTTTCCCTGCTGGTGCTCGGTCTTCAGCTCCTCTATGTTCCTGAGAGCTCAGAGACTCTCTAACCTACACTTACTGAACAGACCTTTCTTCCTTTCCTTACAGTGTCATCTCAGGAGACCTCCAGGTGATGCCACTTGCCAAAATAGTAGCAGTGCCTAAATGAGAGCACTGCCCTGTGCCCAACCATTGTCATATTTTCAGCTGCTGTTTGTGGGCAGCTGTGCACAAACTGGTAATGTCCCACAGGTCTGGATCCTGTCTGAAGCAGATCTCCCCCTTCCCGTAGACAGACGCTTTTTCCTTCTACTGGCAAACTAACTGTGGGCTGCTTTCTTCACCTACACTATAAGAGGTCTGCTTTGGCTGATGGTTGGTGCCTTTGTTCACTATTCCTTTACCCTTCTGCACTCTGTAAAGTGAAGATTTGTGTGTGCTACTGGGTCAGGGATGATTCCTGAGCCACTGTCCCCAGAGGGGGGTGTCCTGCTGCTCCTTGTTTGCTGTACTCTGCCTGGAGGTGCACTCAGTGTCCTCCACTGAGCTCCCACAGAGCTTAGCCAGTTCACACAACAGCAACACATAAGCTTGAAACTTCATTTACTTGTGTGTCTCAGCTGCTGTTCTACCAGGAACTGATGGTCCTTGCAATCTCAAGATTATCTAGAGGAAAGCCAGGAGGCTTTCAAGTTGCAAGTTTCCTGGTGATGGTCACAAGCAGGGCTGTTTAAACTTTGATTTGCAAGCACAGCTAATAAGCAGTTTGGAAGGGGAAAGTGGAAGAATCAGCTCAGCTGAGGGATGGTACCTTCTAGAGGAGCAGGCTGAAGAAGAAGCAGGGAGCTCCAGCAGCTGAGCAGCTTCTAGCAGGATAGGGATGTTCTGCATCCACAGCAGATCTAATCTGTGAGATTCTGGCTTTCCCTGCCAGACACTTCCATCATTTCTGTTGTGCTAAACTCCAGACCAGTGCACTCTGGCTGCGGGACCCTGGCATGGCAGTGTCAAGGATGGGCTGGGGAGAGAGGGATTGTTTTAAGTTTAAAATGAGACAAACAAACCCATTTGCTACTTTCTGGAAAGCTCAGTTGCCAAAGTGAAGCTGTTTACAGAACACAGAAGTTTGTAAACCTTGGGTGTTGCAACAGGAAATCCATGCTGGGAAAACAAGTCGAACTGCCTGCAGTTAGCCAAGTAATCAGTGTTGATCCGTGACTAACGCTCCTGAAGGGCTGAGTTGCTGATTGTGATAGGAGAGGACTCTGGCATTGAGCTGCAGTGGATTAGAGATGAAGAAATTGGGGGGTGAGGGGGTGGCTACTTGTGAGGACAGGTAAACATGTAGAGGGTCTCCAGCAAGCCAGGATGAAAGCTTTTCTTGGCCTGGATCTATAGAATATCCTTCTGTAATGCGTGAGGAAAGGAGCAGTTGTGTCTGGTGTGAAGGGAAGAGTTCTGGGCTGTTACTCTGTGGTGGCCTTTTAGAAAATGCAATTCTGCCTTCGGTGCTGGATGCGTTTGGGGGTGTGTCTAATAGAAGATCACTCAGTGGAGGTCCTTTGTCCATCATTCCTCCTCTGTGGAATGAGTGGCAGCACAGTGTGGTAAATATAGCTCCCCTGGATTGCTACCATTAGGGTGACTTGCCATCCTGATCAGCCAGGGCCTTTGTCTTTTAGTGCTGCTTTGTGCCTTAGGATAGGAGCTTTTGATGCACGTGCACAGACGTGGCCATGCCCAATCTCAACAGTCACCCTATATGACCCTCAGTAACTGATTCCCATTCCTACCAGTGTAAGCTGTTGCAGGGCAGAGGAGCATTAACAATTAATTTAATATATTCTCCCTGGCAGCCCAGAGTTGTAGCTTGTAGCAGAACCTTACTAAGTTCTTTAGTGCCTGTGGAGAAGGAAAATCCATTAGTACTGGTGGTGAGTCCCAAGGTGCAAACGCTTGTGTCCTTTGTCCATGCTTTTGGAAAAATTTTTTTTTCCTCCTGTTCTTCATTCATGTAATTGCCTCAGCTGACTTCCAGTCTCCACCTCCCCCCAGCTGATTTTGCAGAGATGGCTGGTAGTGGAGGAGACACTTTTTTTTTTTCCCCATCCTTAGGTAGCAATCCCTGGATCAGAGTAATTTCCCCATCCTTTTTTTTTTTTTATGGGTAGGTCCTGCATCCACTCCCCAGTTTGCATTCTTGACCACTATTATATGCAGCTGCAGTCAACTTCCATGGTTGACCAGATTGCATGGAAAAATCAGTGTCAAATACTGTAACTTGTGATGCTTTAACTGCTCTGTAAATGTCTTGCAGTCATTTCCTTTCACTGAGTCATTGTTCTTGATTTTTTTTTTCAGATGAATTTTTCCATCACCCGTTCTTGGATGCAAGTGCCTCTATGAAAAAATGTAAGTGCTGCATTTTTGATTATGACTCTCTTTGAACCATGACATGACTTCCTTTGCTGCTAGTTCAAAAGGAAAGGGAAAGACTGCTTTATGTTTTCTTAGTTAGGCAGGGATTTGGCGTTTGTTACTGTGTCATGTCCAGATTTTGCCATCAAACTGTATTTAATTTTGCTTAGTTATCTTCAAAGGGATGATTAGGGGGAATTTAGAAACCTAAATTGAAGTAAATGTCGCTTTGAAATGTATTCAGCTGCTTTGTATGAAGTGCTTGGCCAGTGGTGATGCTTGTAGGTAAACAGGATTACACAGCGTGATTTTGCTTTTCATCAACATCTGTAGGACAATTCAGGATAGTGAATGGTGGAAACTGGCACTCTTGTCCGTGCTTGCCAGGTGGTATCTTGGGTTGTCTGTACAAAACGGCAGGCTCTGGTTACCAAATTTTATTTCAGCATTTACCTCCAAATTCCTGATAAACATTGTTTTTAGAAGGACTAAAATACAGTGTTCTGTGAGAACTGGCCAAAACAAAGACAGACTTCCGTTGAAAGTTCTCTTTCCTCTTTTGATTCAAAACTTTTGAAAATTTCGAACCGCATGTACTGTGATTCAGAGGTTTGTTTTCAGTGGAAACAATTCAGAATTGCTTCTAGTGTATGGGATATAATAGTCCTTTGGCCAAGAGACTTGGTTTAGTGGAATCGTGTATGTCTTCTGGAAGGATCCTCTTGGGCCTTAATCTCCTGAGTAAATGCTAGAGCCAAGCATTTTCATCAGTGGCTGGTTTGGGGTGCCTAATGCAACGTCTGCAAGTTTCGGAGGAAGCATGTCCAATGCCTTCTGAACATGGAGCCCCTCTTGGATGTATGCTGTGGGTCGATGCCCCTCGTCTGATGTCCACGTCACTCCTGACACTCTCTTGCTTTCCTGGTTCCAGAGCAGGACTTCTCAGTTGTTTCTGATACAGATTTTAACTGTGTGCTTAGGTGACCGTCCTGCGGGCAAGAAAAGACGCTTCTGGTTTAGGGGAGCTTACAAGCCAGCCAGGCCCCTGTCTCCATCTGCGCCAGCAAGATGTGGGGCAAGTCCTGTAAAACGGGACTGCTCTACAGGCAGGAAAGGACTCTGCCTGTGCAGGGCTGCTCCTAAGCCAGCTCAGCTCTCTGCTCCTGCTGTACCACGGCCGTGTGGGAAAAGCCCTTCAAACTCTGATCCCGCTGTGGGCATAGGACTCCCCTCTCAGGACGTTCTTGCGTGCCCATCAACTCGTCTCTTACCTCCAGCAGTTCCGTTGCTTCATTGGCCGGGGGAACAGAAGACCCCTGGCAAACAGGAGAGGATTCTCCTGACTTGGCCTCAGTTTCCAATTTCTGCGCATTTGCTGTGCAGAAACCAGAGGCATCATTATGAGCAGGGGACTGTAGCTCAGCCGTTGCCCCCAGCTGCACCGAAGTTAATGGTGTGGGGTCAAGGCCCAATAATAAAAAGGGCACCTTTGCAGGCAGGTAAGGACTATACAAACTCCAGACGTCTCTGCTGCCCTGCTGATTCTCACCTCTGGACATATGTCCACAGCCAGGAGTCCTCTCCAGGCAGGAGAGACCACTACTGGTTTTGAAAAGATGAGAGAAGAAATATCTCTCCATTGCTGGAGGTCTTCAAGTTGTTGTGCACAGAAATCTGATAGTGGAGAGGATGGTTCTTGTAGTCTGCTGTGGAGGTCTCTGCTACTGTCAGATGGCAGTGATGGATCGAGGCCTCTGGGAAGTGCAGTGAAGAGCCTGGATGAGAAAATCTGCAAGTGGCAATGGTGGTCCCTTTGATTTCTGAATAGGTGAGAGAAGAGCCAGTGTGTCAGCAAAGGTCTGGGTTATGGTGATCTCAAGAAGAAAAGTTCACCTGAGATGTATGGAATGGTGCTTAACATTTGCACAGTTTTAGCCGAAGTAGGTGACTTTGCAAGGCTGCAGTTGCTCAGGTGCTAGCTCCCCTGGCTTTGCATGCAGAACTAAGATGAGTCCGAAAGCTTATTGTGCGACTTCATCTGGCCATGTGGCTCAGCATCATGAGTGTAGGAAGCATGAAAGAGGACAAGAGATGTGGCTGCATCTGAATCATGATGGTCGTGCTCAAACTGAATTAGAGTCCTCAGGCCTGCAGCGGAGAGCTGGGGGGAGGAACAGTGTGCCCTCTTTTTTTTTTGTTGTCATTGGGAGCTCAGAATTGGGCTACCACTGGCTTTGATGGAAGCAGGGCAGTTTCTCTTAGGAGAGTTTGTTGGATGATCTGTACCAGCATCTGTGTTTTGGAGCAGTAGCTTTTGCGTGATGAACTGAGATCTCGGCTAAGCTCAAGTACCCACTGTGCAGCCTTTGCCTAAAGGACCTTCTGGTTCAGAGGCGCCTGCACTGCAGATGCAGGCAAATGTGCATCCATTTAGGTCCCCAGCCAATCTTAAGGTGAGACATTTCCTTTCCATATGAGAATATCTTGCAGTCTGAGCAAGGCATGGTGGTCTCTGTACCTCTGCAGGCCAGTCTGCCTTCAAGTGGCAGGGGCAGAGCGGGAGAGCTGCCACCAGCATGCAGAGCTGAGCACATCACCGAGGCTCCTGCGCCCTGTCAAGTCTGGTCCAGAGCAGGTCACACAATGGTTAAAAATAAAGTGAGAACCATCGGTCGTTCATTCTGGCTGGATGTGTGTTGGTATACCATCTCTTGGAATTACAAAGATTTTTTTTAATATAACGTAATTTTGGAATTCTGGAAAAATGGGGAATCTCCAAATGTAGATAATTTTGAAGTTGCTAAGGCATGTTTTTCAAGACGCTTCAGCAAAATCAACATTTCTGTCAAAACCCTTTACCTACACATATCTGACAAGCTCATCCTCTCCACTGCAGTTTCGAGGGGTAGTTGTTCTCAAGTCCCTCCTCTCATCTCGCTCCTTCAGTGAAGCACGGACCTAAGTCTGCACCATCCAGGATGTACCACAGAGCTCTTTGCCACAGGCTTTAGCCTGGAGACTGGGTTCAGGGCCTTGGGCTTTAACTAAAACATGTACTTTATTTTTTGTTTATTTATATTTTATATTGTGGGTTTTGTACCTGTGACTAAATGTGTACCTTAGACATACAAAAAACTTATTAATAAAGTCTTTAAAATACTGTGTCTAGTCAGAATGTCATCTGTCTGTAGCCAGGTCTGATCAGCATATGGTATGGGGCAGTGTGTTACAGTAATAATGCACGAGAAGGCATAATTAGACACTTGTGCAGGTAAACACATTGTAATTGGTACCCGTGCAGAAGATTTTTGCTACTGCCTGTAATGAATGGTAAGTGGGTACCTCCTTTACTCCGAGTTAGAGTATAAAACGTGAGTGGTTATGGTTCCAACGTAGTATGGGTGGTTCAGCATCTGCAATATGTCGGGCTGAACTTGACTTAGTGTCTTTATAATTTTATTGTACATAAAATATTCAGGTGAAAACCAGCAAAAAATCACCATGACTTCTGCATATAAAAGACTTTAATGGTGCAAATTTTAAAACTAAAAAGCAGCTTTTTCCTTGGGCAAGTCCTTTCAGTTTTTACACTCAAACTATTGCCTTGTCAGAGACTGCAGTTAAATAACTTTTTGATGGCTGGTTTTAATTGAATCCAGATAATCACAAAAATGCATCTCTCCAGTGTATGTAAAACTCTTGATTCCAAATAAAACTTATATATAAAGCTTGAGGCTTGGATGATTTAGGATGACTGAGCCCCTGGTAGGATGATTTGTCAGAAGTGATTTTGGCAGGTATAGGATCAGTGTCAAGACCCACACAGCTGGAGCACAGGCTTGCCTTTATGGCTCCCAGCTCTCCCATTTTGAAACCAGTTGGCAATGGTTGTGCAACGTACAGGATGACTGTTTTGTTGCTGGAACAAGTTCGAGAGGACAATTATGAAAACAGACTTATTTACATTACAATTACAATCCAGCAATTTCTGGATTTGGGTGGGGGCCTACAATCCATGTTAACATTCCCTGCATTCAGACTTGAGCTGAAAACATGACGAGCCAAGTGTCTGCACCCTTTTAATTTTAAACTGGGAGTGCCTGGGTGTGTGGAGGAGATGGAAGCAAGCGTCTTGCTTTCAAGCTGTCCTACGTGGCTGACGCTGAAAAATGCACCAACAGGGATGTGATGGTCAGAGAGGGTTTGTCAGAGCCAAAGCTTGTGGTTCTACATGCATGAAAGTCTGTTATTAGTGTCAGGACCTTTTGAATTGGACCTCACAGCGTTGCAGTGTGAATTGGGAAGTTTATGGGATTTTAAATAAGAACAATGATTAATAGATGCAGTATCTAAAGGTGTGCTTCATGCAGATAAGAGTTTTAACTTGAGTTTCAGATGATAGTGGCAAAGTCTGCCTGCTTGTCTTCCTTCCTAGATTAATGGAAAGCTGTCCAGAGCAAATAGACAAAAATAGAAAAGTCTCAATTCCAGCAAGGTTTAAATCAATAATAAACACAGAACCAAAATAGAGTGGAGATGACCTTGAGAGAGAACTGAAATGGCTCTTAACAAAAATAATAATTCCAGGAAAAACAGATGTTGATGCAAGTCTTGCAGCAGGCTCGTATGGATACAGTTCAGAACTCACCTTTTCTTAAAAGCACCGTTCCATAATAGGAAGGTCTGTCTGTACAAGGGTGAATTGTTCTGCAGGAGCTGGCAGGTTAAAAATGAGGAGGCTTGGATTTTTTTTTCCACCTTTCAGACTTCTGGTATTAAATACATAGGGAAGGTGGTAGGGATTGCCCTGCAGGCGCTGTGGGAAGATCACGGAGATCAAAAGCAGTGTGGTACAGGCAGGACAGAGCTCCCCGTCTTACAGGCGAGTTCTCAGACCTCTGTGTGTGTTCCTTGGGTGTGGGGAGTGGGAACCAGCTGTGCTGGAAGAGCATGTGGGGTGCGGGCGGTGTAGCGCTCTGCCAAGCCCCTGACCGACCTCCCAGAATACCCATTGTCAGGCTACTGTGGGCCCTGCTCCTTTATAGCAGCCAGGGCAGTGTGGTTTTTAACAACACAGTCCATCAAGGGCACAAAATCAGGCACTGAATAGATGCAGAAGCTAAAAAGTAACCTTTCAGAAAGGTTTATTTTCTTATGGACCTAACTGTCAAAACACTGGTAGGATGAGCACTGCCAGTATGGTCCAGCAGAAGAGGGAAAGGCATCTGGGAGTGCGTGTGTCACTGCATGTGGGCCCCACCAGCCATCCTGCTATGGCTTCCCATTGCACAAGCTCTCAGACCCTGCTGAATCAATCTCTATTTACAGTATAACTTAACCTCTTGAGAAGAACATTCAGTTTTTGTTAGTGTTAGCAAAGGGTGGAGGGGATCACTATGACCCTGGTTAAACTCTTACAGCGGTTGATTACTTAAGTTAAAATGTATATTTTAAGTCTACACTTCTTTGGCTTCGTTTTCCTGTTGTTGGATCTTGTTACATCTCTGTCAGACGGAGGAATTCAGCATCTAAGTGATGGCTGTCTTTGTGCTAGGAGGCACTACTCCAGTCATCCTTTAACCTTCTTTGATAGTCTATATGGAAAGACTTCTTAAAGCCTTTTATTAAAAGGCCTA